TCTGACAATACCTGATATAAATGATGGTAGTAGAGCATTAGTACAATGTGCTTATTGGTTCCTCTTCAATAGATATGAATATGCAGGCTCATGGGGGATTCTCAACATCTTCTGCCAGCTCTGAAGTGTCTTCTCCATACTCTTTTCTCAAATTTTATAAACCAATTTATGACTAATGAAAGAGCGCAAAGCTATTTTATGTACACCATGTTATAGTTTCACAGTCTGAATGTTATGTCATGAATTCATATCATTATAATGTGTTACTGAAAGTGTCTAAACTAAAAAATTAATTTAGAATAAAATTGCAGAACACGTTTGAAAATATTTGGGGTGAATGAGGAAATATGTTTCCTGCCATAGATATGTGTGAATGAAGCAAACTTGCTTGAACTAGATTAATTTTTAATCAATCTAATGAGTTTACCTTTTTATTCATCAACAAAACGAGTTTTGTTGTTTTGTGGTTATTTGAACAACCAACTCATCATCCATTAGATATTTAGTGGGTACCTGTTAACACTAGAATGTGCAAAGGTGTCAACACTTTTGGGCATTTCTTTTAGTTATATAATTTATTTTTTTGTCTTGCAAATCACAATATTTTACTAGTATTAATCATTTTTAGAGGTGTTTCATTGAGAATAAGCTTTTTAAGAAATGTACGAAGCATAGTTTTTGTATGAAAATTATACTTTCTCTGAACAGGGGTGCCATTTTGACACCAAGACAGTTCAGGACTTGGAGCTGCACCATATTATTGCTCCTACTAATCACATTTGCCTGTTAAAGTAAGATTTTCTGTGGCCTTATAGATCTCATTCTTACATTTATCAACTGACTTTGATTTTAAGTTCCAAGAAAAGTGGTTATTTCTCATAACACATTTTCTTCTAAGGTAATATAGTTGTGCCTGTCCTTTTAAGGGAAGTGTTAGCTCTTTCAAGCTGCAGAAAGCTGTATTTACTATATAGGCAAGTTTCTAAAATGTGTTTCATGTGACTTAGTTCTGCTAAGATTCTGCATCTCTTGTGAGGTACACTGGATAATGTTTTGGAAGGACTTGAAGAAAACAGTGAGTTCATAGGTTCTATGTGTAGAAAGGCATATTAACTAGAGAAAATATTTCACATTGTACATGTGAGGACTTTTTAGTTCATTGTATATTTATAATATCCAGTGCATCTTTTGTTTTGCATATTTTATCAATAGATATTATCAAAATTATTAAGAAAGTGGTAAAGAAACAAAATATTAAGTTATTGTCACAGAAAGCAGCTGAGAGTACAAAGGAATCGAAATAACGTCTCGGGTGAAATAGGTGAAGAAACCAGGCCGTTCTAGTATTCCAATCAGGGTGAAGAAAATTGACCAAGGGTCATGAGTTATCCTCCTTTATGGTGACAAAATGGATACCTATTGAACCTAAACCTACTGAATGGAAAGAGAGCTTAAGAGCAAATTGATCAACTCTAATTACTGTAAAATAAAATAATTACTGAACCCATAGGGAGGAGGGGCATACATGTGTATCAAAAGGAATTGATATTTTTACTGGTTGTGAACACAAGTTTACTGACGAATACAAAAATCACTCACAATATCCACAACTGGATAAATATATTTATTTTATTTCACATGTTTTTTCCTCATTATTTTTCACTGAAACAGCTGTACATTTTTAGTCCATCACAGCCATATCTATACACAGTTATCTTTTATTTCAATGTACCTTCTCCATTTGCCCTTGCTTTTCAGATTTTAATAAGGAAGTTGGACCTAAATATATGAATAAAACATAAAATATTGATTTGTTTCAGCTATATAAGTGTAACACACACTATTTCTACCCGTACATGTTTTTGTAGAATCCAATACATTTCTGATATGAGAAATGCTTAATACACCTGCAAGTAAAGGAAGAAACTTTTGATTAGTGTATGATTGTACAGCAAAAAAGATATTATGGGATTGGAGGGATCAAGGTCAGATGTAACTTATATTTGATTCACTTTGCAATTATGCAATGCATGGTTAACATTGGTGTTAAAAACAGCAGTATAATTTGAAGGCAGATTTTATTTCATTTATTGAGTGACAATATGTCATGGTGTAAAATTATGTTACAATCTCATACATTGGAGATTCAGTACACATATTTAATATTTATTTATTTATTTATCTTATAAGACTAGCATTTTAAAAGCATGATCTTTCTATAGTAAAATTAAATTTAAATATTTTAATTATCCTCCTCGTATGGTAACAAATATTTACAGTGGGAGGCTGAAAAGCAAGAATGGAAATGAGGTACATTTCTTATTGGTAAGATATAAAGAAGTCTACTCTGACTATTTTAGTAAACACATGAAATTATCATTGAATATCTTTTGTTGAAACTCTTTCAGCTCTCACAGAAGACATTTCACCATTTCAACTCTTGCATTAAGACTAAGAAGGAAGAAGTGACATACAGAATAATACCAATTCAAAATATATTACATGTGTAAGACATTCACACATAACAGTTTTTTTAAACATAAGTATGTACATGAATACATTTTACAGTTACTATGATTCTTAACTGCCATAAACATTGTCGTTTTGACAGAGCTCAACACAGAACATTAAGATTCTGGTATATATTCAGTCAATATTTTTATGTTCAGTCGCTGACATTTTGCTAAACAAACGAGTGAGAACTCCGGACAAACATTATGCAATACTGTTTCTTATTTTTCAACACATTTCTATCAGCACGGCAACAAAAGTCTATTCTTTCAACTTATCATTTAAATGTCTACAAACTTCTCCATTTTTCCTTCCATCTACGCAAATATCACAGGCCGTTTTTTAGAACCATCACAACAGAAGTTCTGGAAAGAACGCCCGTTCAGAAGAGGTTTCGACACAGCTGTCACGATCGCGAAGTGCCGTTCAACGCGTCAATTCTTTAGGAACCGCAGTAGTTCAGTAGTTCTTCGTTGGACTCGGTCATTGTCCAGCGAGCTCGTCGTCGGCAAGTGCGTTTGCGCCGCGGAGCCGCGTGGCGGGCGGGCGCGCGATTTGGGCCGCGCCGGAAGGGTAAGTGGCAGTCGGGAGCTGGTCGCTCCGGGAGAGGCGAATCCGCTAGCAGGGGCTGCAGGCGTCGCAGTGGCAGTTGGGCAGGTGCATGGTGTCCGTGCCCACCGACGTCGCGGTCCGCGTGCCCACCGACCTGCGGGGCAGAGAGACAAGGCGATGTTAGAATCGGAGCTCTTATGAATGTATTCACAATTATTTGCTATCCACGCTGGAGGTAATGAAAAAAATACGTGGGACTTTATGGGGAAAAGGGTACCATCCACGACTCTTGAAAAGTGAACAAGGGAGGGCAGGGTTTGATGAAAAAATGTACGTCATCACATATTTTTTTTAATTACATTAATTTTATAATAATAATAATAATAATAATAATAATTTAATATATTGTTAAAATTAATAAATACGTTCACTGCATTTAATTTAGGGAAATTATATTCAAATATGGAGTATTCTGAAATAAAAGTGGTGTATTGAAATAACTGTGTTTTTAATCCACGTGTTAAAAAACATTTTTGATTACAATGCTAAATAACACTAAATCTTTTATCTACTGATTGCCAGTACAAATACTTGCATGCTACAACGTACATTGTCATCAGAAATGTATGAGTGCTGCATGCTGTGCACTCATAATACATTTCTGATGGCAGTTCATATTACGATTCTGGGGTAATAATAATTCTTCTCGCATTTAATAAAATCTTTTAAGGAAATTACCGCATTGGGTTCTCCTTTTGTCATTTCATAATGAGAATTAAAAGAATTTGAAGAATTCCTTCCAATTTATGAGAATCACTTTCCAGATTATTCCCAAGCAAATGCATCCCCAACATTATTCCCGGAGCAGAATCCTAACGGGCCACTAACTGTTTGCGAAATTTCCTTCCTTTTTCATTGCCCCCTTGTCACACACACACGCACGCACGCACACACGCACGCACACACACATTAAATGTACAAGTACTCCAGGGAGATTAGAGTTTGTCCAAGTTGGGGCGATATTCCGCTGAGGGGGATTCCAGATAAGGAAAGTAAAATCATTTCAGCTGTACAACTGTTTCTATACAATTAGAGACTACATTGAGAAACCAAAAGGAAAGTAATATTAACTTTAATTATGACATTTAATGTATTATATATCATTTGGATTGTATAATTCTAAAGAACCTGTAACAAGTATTGAACTTCAGTTTCTGGGTCAATGATCCCCATCTCGATCAGGTTTCTCGACCAGTTTCCCTGATCCTTAAGCAAATGCTGAGAAGGCCCCTTGTTTTGCTTCTAGACGTAAATGTAACTTCAAATAAACTTCTCCCCATAGCACGTCACTCACAGTTTGGAACTGTTTTTGACGTAAATAAATAAACTACGTAAGACATACTGAGCGAAGCTGGATCTCACATTCCAGGGGTGGACGAACACCTCTTACCTCCTGCGTTAAGCACTACTCTTATGGAACTAATTATCTTAACCGTTAACGCGCCCGGCAACTCGAATGAATTAACGTATGGTGGGTTGGTGTCGACCTCCCTGGACACTCACCTGTGTTGGGTGGGCGGGCGGACGTCGCCGGAAGGCATGTGCAGGGGGCTGCCGCTGGCGTCGCAGTCCACGGCC